TGATATATTATATAATTTTAATCAAAAAAGAAACAGAGAAACTAGAAGTATTAGCAAATATATTTCTTTATTCTAGCAGATTAGCTACTTTAAATTCTTAATTTTCTTCAAACGACCAAATATTTGAGGCACTAAGTAAATAAGAAAATTAGACATTTTGGATTGTTTATTACTTTATTGCAACAACTAATATAAATTAGTACGAATTTGGAATTAATACAAGTATACAATTAATGCAATAATTAATAAATGATCAATTCCAACAATCCATTTTGATCATTTTGGGTTGATTGTCATGCATTCTCTTTATCACTACCAACATACTTTGATAAATGGCTTGCTTTCAGCAGCTTCATGTAAATCTGATGAATATTTGTGTCAAATTGACAATTTTTGTTTACCTCGAAGCGTCATTTGTAATGGCAAACGTGATTGCACGGACGTGGCTGATGAAGCAAACTGCAACACTGTATCACGTCACATTAACAAGAAATTGAAATGGCTAACGGCACAACCGACCGTTAAATGTCCGGATGGTTCAATACCGGAATTTAGCTTGTAAATTGTTTCTTGAATAATATCAATTAATATCTTAATTCCTAATCATATTTATCTATTAATAATTATTTTGCTTGCTTTTTTTAAAAAGTGCAACGGAATTTGATTTTTTATGTAATTCAAAAATAATTTCAAACAATTTAAATATAGTTTTAAAATATTCTTGAATAATTTTATATTACACGAATTTTTTCATTATCCTTCGCAGAAGAACTATAAAATATTCAGGTTCAAATGAATATTTTTTCAATTGTGTTTCATTCTTTAAAACAATTGTTGTATATTGATTAAATTTCGGTAAACCCAAATTTTTTCTGAACACTTTATGTTTCAAATTCTCCATATCTCGAGACTTTGACGTTGATCATTCTATTGAACATTTCGAACTTTAAAGATAGTTTATGACATAATTCATTTTATAAAATTTAACTTATTAACTAATTTTCTTTAGCTGTACTAATTTTTTATAAGAAATTCTGTCAAAAACTAAGCTGAAGCAGTGTTAGCGAAGTTTTTGCATGAAAAAATTTATTTTTTGAGAAAAGATTAAACGAAAGAACTTACCGATTGACATTGCTATATCGAATGAGAAATTATTTAGTTATACAATTATATTAAGAGATAAGGTGTTATGCAGTAACGTTTCAAATTGATTGATGAAAATTGATAAGTTTCTAAGATAAATGGTGATTTAATTCATTAGATGAATGAATTAAATCCCATAAATCAATCAAGAAATTTGAACTTTACTGCATAGCACCTATACGATGATGGCTTTATTCAAAAGAATAAAAAATTTGATTAAAAAACAAGAACAAAATTTGAAAGTCGATTTAGGCATGGCTCGACATACTGCTGGAGCAATTCAGTTTGTCCATCTCATACAGCATGCGTAGAAGGGAAGTGTTGCAAAACCGATTGTAAGTTTGTCTTTTTTAATGCTAAAAATTTCAATGAAAATTGAAATTGTTTCATTGGCGAATTTTGAGTCGAAGAAAAAATAAACAATTAAAAAGAATGGTTGGCAGTTTTTTTCATTAATACTGAATAGTGATATATGCAAATATTTAATTTCCATTCATAGACCCTAATCATTTCTTCAAACAGTAACATTACTGATCAACTGTTTAACTAATAATGACGAGGGTAGTTGCATAATTCATCATTTCCATTATCAATGTTATCAGTAATCACTAACCACTTTTTGCAAACATTATCAACCACAGTAAGTTCTGATAGTTGTCAACGATGAGAACAATATTTATATAAAAAATATCTCTAAAATGGTCGTTATTGATAGCCTGAAGTTATTAATCATTCGTCATTTATTCAGGAATCTGAGATTGTACGTAAATACACGTACGTTAAGTTTCTTCTCTCGCGTTACATTTTTTTTAACAGTTGTAAATTCATTTGGTACTCTGCAAAGTACCAAATGAATTTACGTCTTTGCAGCATCATATAATTTCCGTCAGTGTCCAGAAACATTCTGGGAATGCGGCAGTGGTGAATGCGTTCCGTTAGAAACACGTTGTGACGGATTGCAAGCGTGCAGTGATGGATCAGACGAAATGCATTGCGGTTTGAATTTTGCTTTTTTTTAAAGTTTGCATAAATTTCATTTGGTTACACAATGTCATAAGTGCGAGTTATTCTTCGGCTTATTTCGTATCGTAAGTAGAATTTAATAAGACAATTACGTAATATTTAGTTTTTTCCTTACGTACCATTTATTTACGTACCATTTATTTGCATATTTGCATAAATAAATGCAACTAACTGAATAGTGAAATTTTAAATTGCCATATATTTCGAAACATTAATGCGTTGTAATTATAATATTTTATTAGACATTGTTAATAATTAAACTTTTGTCTCGATATTATAGTTATATTTAAAAATTTTCAGAACTTGCCATAAATATGACTTAAGTTTTTGCACTTTTTTTGTAAAAATTGCTTTCAAACTATTGTGAAAAGAGATTTATAAAAATGCATACATTACTAATTTTTATAGAAATGCTCTTTTAGCATAATGCATGATGGATTGATTAATTTATGGAAACTAGCAAGAATGAGTTAATTAGGATCGTTTTTAAATTATATTAGTCGTATTTTTTAATTTCATAATGGAATAATATGACTGCAAAACAGTCATTATCAGTGATAAATAGGTATTATCAAAATAATGCTGTTATTTTCTAAAAAAATTGAATTTTATTTCTATTTATAACACAGAGATTAAGAAAGAATAAGAAAATTGGTAAATGACTTTTTCTAAATATCCACTTTATTTTTTGCTAGCTGTGCTTTTTACAATTATTTGTAACTACTGCTAAATTAAGTTTTCGGTCAATTTCAATGCACACTTGTGAGTAGAAATATGCTAATGTAATCAATAAAATAGCCGGAAACCGTAATGTTAGCGTCTCCTCATACCAAATGCGTTCAACAAACATTGAGCCTACTTCAAATCCGCCTAGGAAGTAAAAATTTGAGTAAAGGCCAAGGACGAATGGTATGATGTGAAGGCATGCAATGATACGACGAAATGCTATATCGGTGATATATTTTTCGCGCCACTCTCGTATTTCCTTAATTCCATACAGTCCTTTACAACCGTATTCCATAAATAAGCCAATAATATTAAGTGCAATCCAAATCTAAAGTTTTTTCTTTTATTGAAAAAATAACTCAAATAAAAATTTTTGACAAGAATCATTTTATTCATTATATAAAAAATAATTTAGTCGATTTACATTATAAGAAGATATTATTATAAAAATTTTGCGCTTTTTTTGACCAAAGTTTCTTAAATGAATAAATTGTTTTTCAAAGATTCCAGTAG